AAAAAAAAAAAAGGGCCAATATGCTTTGTGCTTGTCCATACCATTTCTAAAGAAACAGTTTGTGCTGTCCTCATTAAGTACAGTTTTAGTGGAAGATACGGAGGAAATATTGCAGAACGTAGCAGCTGCAACTCCCTCGATACATAAGGCAGGTGCAAGAACCCATGTCTCAGACTGGATTTCTTATTTTTCCCAAATCGATTTAATTAGAAAACTCAGTTAAGTAAAAATGTAAAAACTTATTTCTACTACTTCCAATCAATGACCAAATTATTATGTTTGTTATCGATCTGGGTATCAGTGGGTCTAAGGTTTCCCTGATCTCACTAAACAGTTGAATCATAAATCAACATAAGTAAATTTTTATTAATAAACAGAGGTTCTGTAACTGGTGTCAATGGCTCATCCTTCTTTAAAAATATGATGCAACACTGATGAGTAACCAGGTAAAAAACACTGACAAGTCAGGTTTGCTAAGAACAACAACCATGTCATTGGTTTACAGATATTTTATGCTTTTGCTCCTGAAGCTAGATGTCCGACAGGCCCGTCTGCATTTTTCTTCCTATTTGCCCCCTGGCTGTGGCAAATAGGAACAACACTGGATGGAAGCATTATTCAAAATTCCTAATAAAACGTGGATGCTACCATCCATTTATTAAATCTTTAAAGAAACGATAGCTCATACAATTTATGCAGCTTGAAATTAGTTTCCAGGTAACCATTTTTTAATAATCATTTTAAATCAAATTCATGTAAATATCAACTTATGAGCACTTAGAACAGGCAAAGTTTAACATGTCAATGTTTGACATGTCAGTCACCTGCTTGGCTGGGGGCAGAGTGTTAGCATCTCATGGAACACCAGGCTGTCTTAAACTGAAGCTGTTACATCATAAACAGCTCCTTGCAGGAGCTACAAGGGTGTAGGTTTTGTCTTTTGCATTTTTGCCTCCCTTGCTTGAAATTCCACCTCATTACTGACGCACACAGAGTCCATCCATTCAGACTCACACGAACCAGACAGCACAGGAATGTGGACGCTCCGATCGCACAACAAAACACCACAAATAACAACACTTATCCGCAAATCAAAACGCAGGCCTATCAGATCACAGGGGGATGCAACATGTTTACAGCTGATTTTGATACAGGCTCCTGGCATGACGGAGTGGTGGAGCCTGGAGATTATCAGATTTTAAGGATGACTCATTACAAAAAAGGCTCTGCAAACCTCCTGAAATTATAGCATACACCCAGAGAAAACAGCCCAAAGTGAGGAGACTAACACCTTCCAAGCAGGATGTAAATCAAAGTGATACAGTCCCTTACTGGGAAGGCTCCATTTGAATTCAAGCCCAGCAGATGGCTGGAAATGATAATCCTTTTTAATGAATTCCACCTTGCATCTTTGAGGAAAGCTTAAGAATGCCAGCAACAGATGCAACTGCAGGTTTCTTCTCCAAGCTGACATGCCATCCACTCCCACGCACACAGACAAAAGCTATATTGGTTTCAGCAATCTGAAACAAAAGCCATTACTATGGTGATAAACTGCACCACCACTCTGCTTCATTACCTCCATCCTGCATGCTGTAAGGAAATTCAAAAATGTTTTAAAAACAGTGGAGCATCCATCATTTTATAATCTCCCTAAAGTCGAGCACAGCATTCAGCACAGACGTGCTTTGAGAACTAGAGGGGATAGAAAAAGCTTAGCTGCTGCCAGAAAGAGGCCCAATAACAGGGGTTGGTCCTCCAGTAGTCAGCGTGGCAAGTCATTAATGAGCTCAGCATCAACAACAAACAACAGCTTGAATTGAGTAAGTCACCACATTCTTTAACACTTTTACTCTTCTGTCTCCAGCAGAAGAACCAACAGGATTGAAGGGGAAATGCAACTAATTGGAATAAATCATGCGTCTCAGGCTTACCGGGTGCAGGTGGCGTGTGGAAGGTGACCTCAGGACTGTAGGGGCTGAACATGGAGTTCCTGCAGCTTCGTACTCTGAAGGAGTACAGACTGTCAGGCTCCAGGTCACACACCACGGTGCTGGGGCCGTACACTCTGTCTGTGGCCCTCCAGACACCATTGTCCTCACCATCTTCCTGGGATGGGGACTGGCCTGGGCCTCCAAGTCTGGAGAAAAATTATATTTTTCCTTCAAGTATCTGCAACTCATCCGTGGCGCTACACATCCCTCTACTCCCAAAGTCATGCTTGCACTCACCTGCGGTACTCAAGCATGTGGTGATCAGTAGGTAGGTGGTCATCAGAGAGCCTCCAGCAGATTGAGGCCTCATTATAGACTCTGCTATTGGACAGGTCAATCAGAGGTGGGTCTGGAACTGGAGAAGAGGAAGAAAGTGTAAAGAATAGAGCAAAGGAACCAGTCAGTATAATCAGGTGAAACAACAACTAAGGCCAAACAACAAGTAAACAAACTGCAACCAGGAAAGCCTCTAAAATATAGCATTTAACATCTGTTATGAAGATTTTCAAAACAATGACAAATCTGGGGAAGAGCTTGTTTTGTCCAAATTTAAAAACAAATCTCACATGGCAGACCGTAGTTCTGGAAGATTTAGGATTTGCAAGACAACAGACCATTCAATTTTATTTAGATAACAGCAACTTACAGTCACCTAAAGAGATGAAAGACGCATATGAATTTAAGAAAATAAAAATACACAACAATAGCAGCCAAATTACTTGCATTCTAATCACGCTGAGCCCTGTATTTCAGCTACATAGCTTGGGCTTAAGCAAATGAAGCAATGCAAGTATAGCTAAGATTAGCTTTGTCGGGATCAAGACTATCCACTCAGGACAATGGACTATCTTGCATAATGAAGCTTAAGAGTTTTTCCCAGACTCACAGCCAGGAAATGCACTTACACCCAACTCAGCTTCTTTCCCTTACTGCACTTTGTTTTTCCCCCCCATCCATTTTCTCAACAGTCATTTCAATTTCCTGCTTGTGTTGTTAACCCATCTCTCCATGGCTTTACATTCACCTACATATATACTGCCTCTGGCTTATGCTAGAGGACAAACCCCTTGAAAGATTCCCTCAGTTACACTCAGCTAATTTATTTCCTCCAGAAACAATCAAATTACTGCAACCATGTAGGTCACAGCTCCTCTCCAAGATCAAAGCATTTCTCTGTATACTTCCATCATCCTCCCAGTGAGAGTTCCCCTCATCCCTTTGGTTATATTTCCCCCCCCCTTCTAGTTTTCAATCCTTCCCATTTTTGTCATCTTTTCCCCACAATAGTAGATCCCCCTCACTGACCAGTGTCACCACTGCTGTTAAGCTTTCAAAGTCACTTTGCTAATCCCGAGTCCCCAATTTACTTCTCCCAGGCAGCTCTCCTTTATGAGCTTGTGTAATCTTAAAGCACAATGTATTAAGCATTCTTAATGTAGATTAGCATTAACTAGGGAAAGTAAAGAGTAACCACCACAGGCCCTCTTTTAAAAAAAACAAAACAAAAAAAATCAAAGCCATCTGCTACCCTGACAAATAAAATTTTGTCTTCACCTGTTCAAACAAGTGAGGACCAAACGGGGCAGTCAGCCATCCGACTCAGCAGGAAGCCCTCGTTCAGTGATTCGGAAGAAACACTATTGATCATGTACATTACAGCTTACACTGCAGGGAGCTGCTCCGACTCATATTCTTTATCATTCCCCTGCTCCCTGCACTGGACTTTCAACAGCTCCCACTTCAAAATCTTTAAGCTTTGACATGAAAAACATCCTTTAAGAGACATGAAATGTTGAGACCTCTGATCATAGTCTGATGTTTAGCAGAAACTCCAGTTTGAAGCTGACCACAAACGGGCATTTACACTTGAGACAAAGCAGTCTTTCACATCCTCTTAAGCAGAGCTTTTTTCCCCTTTGGGGGGGTTCATACGCCACAGTATGGCCATAGCTGGGTTAAAAGGAGTGAGCACAAACGCATCGTTATCCAAAGGATGACGAGTGCACTAGAAAACATGGACAAGACAAGCACTGAACAAAAAACACTTGTCAGTCTCAAGTTTTTAAAAACGCAGTCAAGTACAGTACAAGGATGAGGGAGAGGATCCACCAATAATGCAGTCATTTTTTAACCTCCTTAAATGTAATTACTGCAGTATACAGGCGCACTCACAGCTTATTATCTCATAGGCTTGGACTAAGCTGGCTCCTGCAGGCCTTTAGATTAAAAGGCTGCCGCCAAACTGCTGCATGCAGCACTTTTCTAAAAAAGAAAATGCATCACTGCTACACAGGCAACACTTTATACAAAGAAAGTCAAATCTGAAATTTAAAGGACGTTTTTAAATCAAGCCGAGGACTAAGCAAGTAACTTCTTTAAAAATATAAACTCGCTTAAGTCTTTAAACAGCTTCATTGACTATTCAAAAAGAAAAAGGCTTTCCAGCAGCATTACCCACCCCCCCCCCCTTTACTCCAGTAAAAAACAGAATCCACAGCTCTCTGCTCTTGTGGCCTTTGTACAGAAAGCTTTTCCTACACATTTTTATGTATCCATCGTTTTTAACCACAGTAAATTAAAGATGGCCTGTAATCAGATTATAGAGGAGATAATAACTAGATCGTTATCCAACCGTTCTTCGTGAGTCACAGAAAAACAGACCATTTTCCTTCAGTGTCTACACCGAGCCAGCGGTAGCCTTTGAGACGTCTCACATCACTGATTTTCAACAAACCGAGCAGGGCTGCTCTTCAGTGCAGTAACAAAAGCCCATAATCACAAATTCATGTCACCAACGGTCACTGGAACAAATGCCAGCTATTTAGTTGCACTAAATAATAATGTTCGGTCACCGTTTCACTGAACAGCACCGAGAGACCTCAGTGCTGTCTATAAATATCAACATTCAATCCCTCCATATTTACCATCTAGCGCTTTGTCTGAAAGAACATCTGACAGAGCTAAAGCCTTTACTGCCACCGAAGCAGCTTGTCAAATAACTGCTATCAGTTTTCAGGATGGCCTCAAACACCAATCAAGTGTCACTGCATAACTATGACTGAAAGTCCTGTCACAACTAACCATCACTATATGCAGTGGAGAATATCAATACCACCTTCCCTCAGTCACCAATATGTATTAAGTTGTCAAGTTAGATTAAAGAAAGTAAAGCGCATGAGGAATGAGCCTCTCCCAAACAGAGCCAAATGTCAAAGCATGAGTCACAACAAGGCTGTGTTGAACTCCAATTTGATTATTAAGGAAAGTCAGACAACGTCTGAGCTGGGTACCATGACGACAGCTATTGGTCTGTGCAGTCTGAGCACTTTGATGGCTGCTTTTCTTTCTCTCCTTTTAAATAAATAAAATGTGGCTAGTTGTAAAGTTGACAGAACCAGAGATGATTATATGCATACAAAAACTATTAAGTATGTTTCTGAGAAATCAGGTATAAGACAAGACTTTATTGATCCCACAGTGGGGAAATTTTTGCATTAACTCAGCTCAGGTATAGATAGAAGGAACATACAAATAAAATACCAATAAATATAAAATAAGATAATGCAACACACACACACACACACACACACACACACACCATGTGATTATGGATATGGTTGTGGAAATATGCAAGACAAACTATAAAGTTATAACTATTCTACCACTACTATTCCTATGCAAGTCATAGATATGTATAAGTACAGACATGTACACACACTTACACACTAAATATACCTGCACATGTCCAGACACATAGAAGGTCCATTATGCATGAAGTGGTGACTGTGGATCTCCACAATGTCCAGTGACTTATGGCATTGTGATCGAGGAGTTATAGAGTAACTGCTGTTGGGATGAATGATCTGCGAAAGCGCTCCTTCCTGCAGCGAATGAAGTACTTTTTCTGCCCAACCAGAGGTCATTCGAAAGAATGCAAGTTTTCTGTGCTTCTAGTCTTCAGTACGAGTAAAACAGTGTTATACAAGTACCAGTCTATTAACCATTTACTGCTCAGATACACAGGCTGTTTCAATTATACAACTAGTCTCCCTGGGCATGTCTATGATTGGAGCCAAATGCCTGGAGCTGGGCCTTCTTATAAACAGGAGACTGGGTTCCTAGGTGACACCCGTGTCACTTTTCCATTCCTTCAGTTTTAGTGACAGTTCGAGGGAGGCATTGAAGCCAAAGATCTCCCCTTTGCTTTTTCAAATCTCTGGATATACTGATGTAAATTGTATAAATTAGGACGACTGACTGAAACGTATGGGGTTGAACCAGAATTTGAGTTTGGAGTGCGATTCGATGTAGCAGTTGAGGCCGGAGTAGCTTCTCCAGTTTCTCTTCACATATTGTGTGTCAGATAAATGTCAAAGAGCATCATCTTTTAAGGTTCTAGCGTTGCCTCTGACCGGCCTTTCAGTGAGCTTGTGATGACTTGCAGTTCCTTAGCAGGACATTTTTGCAACCTGCACAATAACCTGGATGCACTTTAAATAATCCAGGTCACTCCTTCACAGACCTTTGAGTCTCAAAACGGGTGAACAGATTTAAAAACAAATCTGTCAGATCAATATAGAGAGGTTAAGTACACATAGCTTGTTAGATAATGAACAGTTACGTACCTTGATCAGATATTTAAGACATTTTTTTGTTTGAGCGCTTTATGGTCTTGCTTTGAGATCAGTCTGCTATGACTTACTGTTTGCTCATTATTTTGAGGCTGTGGGAAGACAAACCTGAAATAGGTCAGAATAATGAAGGTTGAAGAAAGCATATATATTCTCAGCCCTGGGAAACTTCTACCTGAGCAGCTTTCTGACAGAGTAAACGCCTTTATAAATCAGCAGACCAGAACAAACCACCAACATCCACAATCTGTGTAGTCACGGCTCTCATTTTGGTTGCCTACAAATGACCTCTGACCTCTTAGCAAAGCACAGTTTGAATGGCTCTGCATGCAACAACAAAAAATAACTTATTCAAGTTTTAACCAACTTGATTTGTAAGGAAATACAACAGCAGGGCTCTACATCATATTGCCACATTTTGGCGGTCTTCATGCTCACAGATGAATAGAAGCATAAATGTCACCATGTTTTCTTTCATGAACTGATGGGATCACTTTTTCCAGCTGAGCACGATAAAGAAGCTCGCTGTTTACCACAGTTTTTCCAGAAATGAGTTTGACTGAGCACACCAAACCCCTGAAAACAATATTTGCAAACCATCCTGTAAACAGATTCACCTTTTAGTGCATCAAAGTCAACTGAAACAGGATTTAAGTCAGAAATGATTCAATAAATGACATTTCTGCCAACCCAAGTGTTGCCTTTACTCTGAAATCATTTACCTCCACCAAAGCACATCTCTTTAAGCAGCATTTCTTCTCTGGACGTGTCCAGGACAAACTCATCAAAGCAGGGGTCAGCTGCAGGGTGAAAGGTCCTCAGAGACTCTGTGGCTTTCTGGATCCTAAAACATAATAATAATAAAAAAATAAAATAAAAAACCCCCCTCATCATTAAGGTAAGATTTTTAATTATAGACTTCTGTAAGGACACAAAACAGCAACACTATTCACAGCAGACAGAGTGCCTCCATTGCCCTAATGTATTTTCAATCAGTCCTGTACTCTGGGGTCATCTGGCTATTTTTAATACAGTCTCTCATAAGCACAATGAAGGATTAAAGGCTGAATCTTTGTCAAGAGTAAACTGGACAAACCATCCTATCATGACTGTAAGAGAAAAAGGTTCTAGCTTACAAAAGCTGCTCAAGGAGATCAATTAGTGAGCTTAAAAGAGAGGATACTGAGATACACAGCACTGACTTGGCACTGTGGCACAAGTCTTCTTTAAACTGTCCTTGAGTTTGGTAACCTGTGGTTCAGTAACACGTGGCTTTGTGACACATTTTAGTCAAACATTTAATCTGATTGAATGCAGCACAAAAATAAACCAAATCTAAAATAGACAAAATCCTGCTTATGGCATCCAGAGAAGAATAAAAACTAATGATTCAGTTCAGATTTCAAACTCTAAAGGCTAAAGTTATTTGTAGTTTTTGCGATTAATTAACTATGCACAGTCATGCGACTCAATATTGTAATCGTTGGACAGCCCTAACAATCATATTTAGCTTCATTTTTTAAAATGAATGTATACTTGGTTACTTTATTCATTAATTATCACTTTGACAGTATTCAACGTCATAATTCTGTAGCTCATATTTGCTTTAAGTGCACTGCTCAACTATTCCTTCACAAAAGTGCAGCTTTCCTCACGAATAATACAGATGATTATATACGGGCAGCTTTTACTGCTCACCATTTGCATCTCTAAGCTTTGTTACATTATCAATCATTTCTATTATTGTACTTTTTTCCTAAATGTTATCATTTTAAACAGATGACTGTAGTGAAGATTATAGTTTTCTAGTTTCTGAACCTTTCCATGTGCGCCTGCTGAGGGACGTGAATCTCTCTACAGATGAAATATAGATGTAAATCTCACCAATTTGCATACCTGACATGCAGCTGCTTCGCAGTCTGCACAAAACAGGATTGATCGGTTTCCTTCAGCACCTCCTGAGCATAGCCCACCAACCCACTGTTCTCCAGCATACCTTGGTACTCTTCCACCTGGGCAATACCATTTATAAGTCAGTTATAAGTGTTTGTTACAATTGTGACAGCATCTTGAGAAGTCAGACTAGTTTTTAAAACATCTAGAAAAGTTCAAAGCACTTATTATGGACTTCATGCAAATATGACGCATGAGATAGAGAAATCAAAGTCTCACCTGGCCTCTGAGCTGCTCCATGCGACGGTTACGAGACTGCTCGATTGACCTCAGCATCTCAGATTTTCTCTCTTGCAGAGTCTCAAACAGACGCTCAAAGTGCTCGTTGGCTTGACGCTCTGCTAACTGGCCATTTTCCTTTAAGAAAAAGACAAGTTTCTCATCATCTTAAACTAACAGTATTCATTAGATGCAATAAGCAGACATTTCTTTAAGCCAGCCAGAGTGCAAGTCATTGCCACTATGATCATTTAAAACAAAGCAGTGGGCATCGATTCCTCACTTTTTCCACTCGAGACTGTTGAATGAACCTTGACGGTACGCATTTCATTTTATTGTAATTCAGCTGCAGACATTCAACATTTTAAACTCATCTCATCTAAGCCATTGTTCGACACATAAGCAGCAAACATGAATGAATTAAGGCCTCTGTTTAGTTTTGAACAACATAAAAAAAAGTCACTCCCATTTATACTCAATGAGACAGAAGCATCAATTGCAAAATGAAAAATTAAAAGCATAACAATCACCTATTGCTCACACACCCAGTGCCCTTTACAAAACTGAAAGCGTGGGTATGTTGAGCGCTCGCCATCTATGACCAACATCAAAGTAAAAGAGGAACCAGCTGAGACACTAAAAACCCAGACTTGCGTGAGGGAACCAAATCCTGCGTTTCCTTGTTTGTGTGGTTTGCATACTGCTTGTTCAATGATGCTGCTTACTCTTACAAAGACTAACTGTTCGACTCAGGCTGCTTTCTACTGAGCCGTATTAAAATTTATTTTCTGCAGCTATCAACGGGAATTAACAGATGCATTTGTTTTGCACCATCTCATTATCAATTTGACTAGATTCAAAAGGTTTAGACAGAGTAAAGTTGCTCCTTCTCCTCAAGGAGGAGGAGCAGCTTGATTGGCACAAACTGATTAGAGGAATGCTAAAAGTGTGAACAAAGTTCATAATACCTTCATAAATGTGATAAAAAGCAGTATAGTGATAACCGGCCCTTTTATTCCATCCTGAGTTACAGATTCTTTCAGCTGCTTCCTCATTGGGTCACCACAGTGGCCAGATCTACATGTTTGACTTGGCACAGATTTTACACCACATGGCCTTCCTGATGCAACTTTGCCAATTTATCCAGGATCCAAATTTGTTCTCCTCTCCTCCCAGCATCTTTAACAAGTAAGTGAGTGAGTGAGTCAACCACTGCACCATGTAGCCACCTTCTGCTCCTTATAGATTTAACACCGTCCAGGAATTTTGCAGAAGATGATAAAGTCGGAATTGTTGATATGGACATTTCGTGTGCACTTTGACGGTCAAAGAACCTCAGAGATGAAGCAATAATCATAACCCAATTCCAGGTCTTTCGAGTCCAAGTTAAACTAAATCAAATCAGGTCTTTTGCCTCTGACTACAACTGATGATTAAGGGGGGAAAAAAAAGTCTGCAGAGCATACAGTAACATCAAAGGATGTGAGAGATACAGCAGCATGAGTCAGCTCTCTCACCTCAGTCTTATTGATGAGCACCTCAAGCTCAGTAATCTGAGTCCTGACCTGGTCCTCTTTGCTGATGAGGTAATGGATACTCTTGGCCAGCTTCTCCTGGGGAGGGAGGAAGGAGAGAAAAAAAAAAAAAGAAAAAAGAAGAGCGAGCAGCATTTCAGTATTTACAGTGAGCTTCACAGAGCCTTATACTTGCTGGCACATACACAAGGCATGAGACTAATAACACAACCATTTTCTGGGAAAGAAAACCGTAACAGGCACCACTTTAAAGAGAAAAAAGGTTTTGTAGTTTGAGACGCTCATCAAAAACAGGGGTCCAATAAATCAGTTTATTACTGATGGACATCTCCGGACACAGTGACGCTGCACTTCTGTTCAACGAAATTATAACTGACACAGGTTTCTGGGACTGATCAGGACATCTGATACTCCTCCCAAGAACTCAAAGGCAGAGCACACAAAATCACATGGAACAAATGGTCTCATTAAATATTAAACACCAATATGTTTGTATCCACACAAACCAGCATATAGAATTTCACAAAATCTGCCTCGACTTGCTAAGCCCTGTTAAATAAATCCCTCTAAGCAGGATGACGTTCAGGCCAACAAAACAATTACTATTAAATGCATTTTAATTAAAACCTATTCTGCTGATAGCCTCATTGTGCTTTAGGAGTGTGTGGTTGCTGTGACAGCAGCTGCCAACACAATCTCATGACATTTTCGTCTCCACGTGAACTAAACAAAACACTAAAATGAATTAAAGGTAATCATGCTGAAAGGGAAAGCTCTCAAGAGGAGTTTGAACTCAATTAGCCAGCCTGGGTTTAAGTTTCCAAACAGTGACTGACATCTACAGTGTGCTTGCTAGCACTGGAACAGGTCAAGCATTAATATTACAACAGCAGAGGAGATGAAATCCAGGAACAAGTCGGTGTGTGGCCCACTACAGAAAAAAGCTGCCTCTGAACTTCTTTTGTTGCATACTTCAGCGATGACGGGGAGCGTGGACAAAAGGCTTTTACTTGAGTCCAATTATGCTAGCACCAAACGTCTGCACAACAATCTGCCCTTAAAGGATTCTCAAAACCTCAAATCATTCGTTTTATCTTTCACTACAGTTTACCTAGTCATTACCAGTTTTTAAATAATAAAATTTAAAGTGTACTGACTGTGTGGGGGAGAGAAAGGGGAAAAAAAAAAAAAGGTCTGAATGTGTTACCTTGAGGATCTTGTATGCACTGCTCATGGAGGTGACTTTGTGGTTAGCATGGGATCCTCCAAGCTTGCACAAGTGACACACGGGACGCCTGCAGACCTCACAGTACATGTTCACCTTCTCCATCTCGTGCTCTGGGCACATGAGAACCTGCAAGATTAAGGAGAAAACATAAATTATCGCCCTCGAGGACTCACTTTGTCACAAGTACCACTTACGTCCCAGTTACATAAGCTCTGAAAAACAAGGACTTAAAATTAATCCAAAGAACGCATGTACACATTAAACTGCACTGTGTTAGACTGCATAGAGCTACACAGTGTTGATAAAATGTTGACAAATGAAGTGAAACAGGAAGATGAGCTAAAGCCATTTAAAAATAAAAAATAAAAAAGGTGGTAGACAGCTCGATGAACCATTTCCTGATGGGTCTTAAAATAGAACTCAAATCAGCGCTCCAAATGCCAAGATCCTCATCAGAGGCCAAAACAGCAGATACACCACTCCTCAATGAACAAGGAATGCAACAAATACACAAAAACCAAAAAGAGAAAAGTTTGTTTCCAATGGACATTCTAGACAAACACTACACAATAGGAATGTATAGACATTTGAAACAAGCTCTGGCTTGACCCAAACAGGACTCCAGCTCTATTGCTGAGGAACTGTTCCCCTTTCCTGGATGATTGCAGCTTGCTCCGATTAATACATTAACCCAGAATGTCCAGGTCACATTTAACAGGAGACATATGGGGTCTAAATGCTAGCCAGGGAAGTCTCTAGATATGTCCTGATCCAGAAAGGTCTATGCTACTCTGGCACGGTCCCACTATTAAAAAAGAAAAAAAAAAACAAAAAAAACCCCAAAACAAACAAACATCCACAGGGCATAAGTACAGGTAGGAGCACATCATCTTAGGTCCTCTGTCCAGTCAGATTTCCACTGAGAACAAGCAGAACAGAGATGGTGCTCTCGTGGACATGGAAGTCTGCAGCAACAGCTCGGACAGATGCCAGCATCCAGCGTGGCAATAACCTGGCCTCGGCCAACTTCACTTAATCACGCGAGTTTGTGTTCAGCAAACAAATTACCAATCCCCAGACTAAAACCAAACAACAAGAATTGAAGACTAATTACAGAATTTGTTTGGGTTTTCACATGTAAAAAAGATAAAACTTGCACTTCTGTTTTTGACTAGTATATGACACAGGAACCAATTTTATAGTTCTGCTGAGAGTAAAGTATATTTGATTCTGTTTCTGAGTTACACCACACGTCACTGACCTTTCTGAGCTTCAGAAAGTGATTAAATATAGTTTGATCAGCAAAGTTAAGTTTTAAGCCAAACTTTCTGTATAGCAATGATTAGAAAACCAACACAGCTGGTAAAATTCACCATGCATGACATGCAACTCTCATACCGCCATTCAATCAAGTAAGCAGAAATCTATCAACTAATGTTTAACTCTGTGATAACATATCTTGTTAACTGTTCATAGTTCAAAGTTGTTTTGTTTATCGTTTATTACTTCGTGAGAACAAACTGACAGCTACTGAGCCACACTCACCTTGGGCCTAAAATTCATCGTGGGACCAACATACTCGTGCTGGGCTTTGGGTGTGCCCCAGGGGTGGTGCAGCTTGAAACACTCGTTACAGTAGCTCGCCTTGCAGTCCATGCAGCTCTTTGTTGCCTCCTGCTGTGGAGGCTTGCAGATGTTGCACATGATGGCGACGGCTGCGCGGGCAGCCTGCCGGTAGCGCTCCACGATGCTCTCCAGGGTGAAGTTTCGGAACAACATGCTGATGCCGCGTTCGCCCAGATCTATGTCATGCTGGCAGCCTGGGCACGGGATAGCGGTGACCCGGGGAGTCACAGATCCTCTGCGCCATCCCGGAGAGGAGATTGAACCTGGAGGAGAGCAACGAGGGCAGAGCACTGAAATGAGTGTCAGGAATATAGAGTCACAGCCTCGGGACACCCATTTTCCAGTCTTGCCTGAGGCCCTATTTTATTATGTGAAGAACAATGTCCTCTGATTTCTAATTACAGTCAATTAACAGCTTTCAAGAGGTTCCAGCACAGTTTAAAGACAAATAGATTCGTTTTGAAAAGCAAATTCACAAATAGAGCCTCAGCATGTCTCTCTTTGTGCTTCATTTCCACAGTGACAGCTGCACAATTGAGGCATGGCTGTATTGGGGCAATACACCCAGCAGCTGTCAGGGGGAAGAAAAAAAAAAAGTCCACAAAGAAAGACCATCAAGGGTACTGGAACAGGTTAAGGAGTGACGTTTGGCAGGAAAGTCAGCATCCTTGGAGCTTATACACAGTCTTAATAAGAAATGCATTTCATTCAACACTTACTACATGAAGGAAGTATTTTAAGTGCTCACAATGATCTGGACAAAGGAAATAATTCAATTTCCCTTAAATGGGTGATTGGCAAAATAAAGATGAAAAACAAACCACATGATTTAAACAAAAATAAAAAAAACAAGCAATTTTAACTAAAGTGCACTGTAAGACAAAGAAAATAAGCTTTCAATAAAAATTTCAAGCAACTGACATGTCCAGTTCAATGCAGGAACACTTTTCACATAGCACATCTCTTAAAGCAACATTGCTTTCAAGAGTCTCACAACATTGTGCTTGTTACTGATGCGGCAGCATCAGAACAAGGCAGCAACACGGTTACACGAGATCACATCACAGACACAAGCAGGTCACCACACTTAAAGCCAGCAAACTGACGTCAGAGCACGCAAAAATTAATATATTGCTTCACGTTTTTGAGGGACAGGGGAAGCGAGGAGTGCTGGATTTATCTCTGTTTGCAAGCCAGCATTTCCGCTCCGTTTCCGAGGACCTAAAAAATTAAATCAAACACTCCTCAGGTAAGCAAAACACAGGAAAACGATTTGAAAGCACCACTTCAGCAAAAAAAAGTAAGGAGGGGCAGCTGAGGGAAAAGCAGCAGCAGAACAGCAAACACACTGATGTGATGTGTAGCCATGCTGGGTTCTCAGATGTATCAGTGAACACTGATGGTGCACCTCTACGAGGTCAGATCTGACTGACCACAAACTATAGAGCTTTGTTCACCACAGTTTTTTCTACCTGAATTTATTTAACATAGGTGAAGTTAAACATTTTGCTATGATGTTACGATGAAAATCTGAGGCTAATGATGGAAATGAAGATGGCATGGTCTTATTAAAGACAAGCAGAGTCAGTGGATGACAAGTCTGGCAAAGAAAAAAAAATGTAAAGAAAAGCCTTCATACTTAAACGAATGGTGCTGAAGGTCTTTATATCCTGCAAAGACTGCACGTGCGTGTCATGCAGGCACACTGACTCAGGTTCTGGTCAGCACATAAGGTGTGAGCAAACAAGGCCCACAGAGCAGATGCCTGAAGCAAAGCGTGTTTGTGTGTTGATTTGTGGATCTGCAGAGGGAGCAGAGCCAAAGGCAAAAACTGACGAGTCATTGCAAAGAAAAACTGACCTTTTCTTTTTCCATCCTGTCCAGACCTTTAGACAGTATAATGCAGAAACCTACCATTTCTTCCCCCACCCCCCTTAAAAGGCTTCAGATTATCAGGATACATTCTGGATGTTTAAACTCACTGGCAACTTTATGAGGTACACCTATTTAACTGTTTGTTAATGCAAATAGCAGCAATCCAGTGCATTTAGTGTATGAAGACATGGTCAAAACGATCTGCTGAAGTCCAAACTGAGCATCAGAATTTGGAAGAAAGGTGATTTAAGTGTTAGTGTAACAGCTTTTGGTGCCAGATAGTCTGGTCTGAGCATTTCAGAAACTGCTGATCCACTGGGATTCTCCCACAAAGTTATCAACAGAGTTTACAGAGAACATAATATTACAACGGTAACTCAAATAACGCAATTTGTTACAACCAAGGTATGCAGAAGAGCATATCTGGATCTTATATTAAAACTTAAGCAGCACTATAGCTACTGCGTGCCACTCCTGTCAGCTAAGACAACTTACATACGCTCAGAAGACTTGGGGTGGGGGTGACCTGATGGGTCTCAATTTCATCTGCAACATCCACATGGTAGGGTCATAATTTAGCCCAAATATCAAAACAGGTATAGTGGCTTGGCACACTTTTGCTCCAAACGAGCATCGTAAAAAAAACAAATAGTATTTTTGCTAACCTGCTAACCACGTCCATCCCTTGATCATATTGCACCACATCACAAAGCATGATGATGAGTTCACTGCACTCACTGTAGTCACCAGATCCCAATCCAACCTTTGGTCTGTGGCTGAACAGGAGATCGTTGTGCGTGTGAAGCCTGTATGGTACCATCATGTCAACATGATCCAAAAATCTGAGAAAGGTTTCCAGCACCTTGTTGAATGCCATGGAGAATTAAGGTAGTACTGAAGGCAAAAATGGGTCCAATTCAGTACTAGCAAGGTGTACTTAATAGAGTGGCCAGTGAGTGCATACTATAAAAATGGTTAAGTCTGCAGTTTATGAAATATTTACTTCTATGAGCAGATATCCAAGGCAGATTAACAGGACTCCAATTAGTACAACTACACTTTGTTCAATATGGAAATGTAAAATATTAACTTAATACATGTTCTCCAAGGCCAGAAAAAAATAAATAAATAAAATCAAGTCAACTCCCATTATTTTGTTGTACTTTTGGGTTTGTTTGTTTTTTTAAGGGCTTTGGGGACACTACATTATTTTTTCAGTGTTCAAGAAAGAGACGCTGACTCTGCTTCAAAGCTGAGAAAATAGTTGCACCCGATTAAAAACATCCACTGAGCATGTTAAATAAACTTCATTAGTTAAACTAAAAGGGCTAGTGTTAGTCTTGTTTTACTTTGCTGGCAATCTGACACTTAATTCATCATGCTTAAAATAATTAGAGGTAGGCTCAAACAGGTTTGTGTTCCTATAAGTGGTTTCTCTAACACTCATTGTCAGGTCAAGCATAACGAGCAAATTAAAGGCAAACATATCAGGAAATAATGACAGTTAACAAACTTGGCAAGTCCAAACATACTGTATGCTTTTTTTTCCCCCACTGTGTGTTTAACTTAAGAGACCTACAGTTCTCCATCCCTATAAAGCTGCTTTAGTTGCTACTGTGATTTAGCGAGTAATGCAAGTAATGTTCCACACACACACACACACACACATTCTTGTTCCACTTCAACTCCTAGGAAACTTCCTTGCCCCGTTCTCACTAATTTGAGCTCCTTTCAATTCCTTTTTGGTACGAAGCAAACTCTGTCTGGGACACTACCTCCCTCCCTCACTCAGGCACTACTTTCTTTTACATACCGACTCATCGTTGGAGCATTTCATACCCATTTTAACACTCAGGTTTTATGCTCAGTGGATATTTTTAAGGGTCTTTTAAACCAGATATTAGTCATTAAGTGTCTAACAAAGAGTTAAAAGCCTACTTTATGTATTAATCACAGAAATTCTTCATAAGAACCTATTTTATATCTGGTGTGAGTCTGTATGGTCGTGTGAATAGGGCTAATGCAGACTATGTAGAGAAGAGGTTGAACCAAACTAGGGTTTCACAGGGGTTCTAGTAACACTGTACTCACTACTACAGCTACTCAAAACACGGAGCCCGCGTCTACCTCGACTTCCAAACGACCTTCGCACAGTGGCTGCAAGCAATGAACAGAGAAGTGAGGTGAGACAAACAAGGAAAAAAAAAAAAAATCCTTTAAATGAAACAAAGCATAATGTGAAGTGATGCGTGAATACAGATTTTTAATATGACACTGGGAAAAAAAAAGTTAACTTATGAGAAAAGTGACAAAAATGGTAATGCAGTTCAGTGTCATGTAAAACATTTAAAATACATTTTGAACAAAGTACAATTAACTCTTGATTTATGCATTATTACTAGACAACTTGTATTAAAGGAGAGAGAGAAAAACATATACATGACTGGACTAATAAATGTGGTCCTCATTTTATTTTTGGCCTAGAATGTGTATTAATAGCAACAGTTTGGCTTATGAGAAATGTTTGTCATGTTTATATGCCAAGCATAAAATTTAAAAAAGGAGACTGTTAGCTTAGCTCACCATTAAAATTAGGCAAAGCCAAAACCACTTTCCTACCAGCACCACTTGCAGCCTTTTGCACAGATTTAAGGGAGAAATCTTTTTTCCTTTTGATGTTCAGACACCATTTTGCGCTCAACAAATTAAACAGGGATGGTCAAAGAGTAAAGGACAGATATTTCATTCATCAAGATCCAATATGGGATTTAAAAGTTAGCTTAATTTTTGTGAGATTTATATTATAAACCACATTATATTATTGTAAGGTTTACCTTACAAAATAAAGCCTTTTGAGGCAACTGTTGCAGTGACTTGGCACTATATGAATAAAACTGAACTGAGATGTTGGCTGAACATTGATATAAACTGACTGATAGCCCTAATTATGCTGGCCTATCACCATGTAGAACATTTGACTAGGTTGATTGATTCTTTGCCTACAGGTAAATGACAATCATGCATATGCTAAACAGTTTCCTTGGACACCACAATAAATTAACACTGCGGAAGTTTGTTTATGCCACTGGACAGAGAAGGAAAAAAAATTA